GTGGTTGGGTATTCCAGCATGACAATGATCCAAAACACACGGCCAAGGCAACAAAGGATTGGCTCAAGAAGAAGCATATTAAGGTCATGGAGTGGCCTAGTCAGTCTCCAGACCTTAATCCCATAGAAAATCTGTGGAGGGACCACCAAGTACTAAAGCACGTTTTGCAAAGGGATCAAATACTTATTTCATTCATGAAAATGCAAATTACTTTATAACTTTTTTTGTAATGCATTTTTCTGGATTTTTTTGTTATTGTTGTGTCTCTCACTGTTCACATAAACCTACCATTGAAATTTAGACTGATCATTTCTTTGTTAGTGGGCAAACTTACAAAATCAGCTGGGGTTCAAATAATTTTTCCCTGATTGTATGTATAAGACAACGTAAAAAGAAATACACTCAAACACCCGCTGGCTGACCGGTTTTGCTCAAACGACGCTTCAGTTTAACGTGAGGCTAATTACTTTAATTTGTGGAAGACTAGTCTTTTGCATTCAAATAAAATTCAATCAATACAATCACATCAGTCTGTTACAACACAAAATATTATCATAGGTAAATAAAACAACATATACCAGGCCTTTAATAGAGTGTTAAGAATTAGCAAAGGAGTAAGGAATATTTTTCACCTTTAACTGCTCCCAGTTGAAATGCAGCTTTATAAAAACCACAATACAGCCCGCTGTGACTGAATTTTGTAAGTTTAAAAAGAGGGAATGTACGTGTGCTATGGCAGCCCAAGCTATAACAAGCCTCAAATGTCGGTGCACATTTTACAGCCATCATTTTTGCTATGAAAGCACAGAATTTGGTGGTAAATTACCTTGAGTCTCAAACAAAGCTCCAGAGGATGTAGAGGAAGTAGTCTCGAAAAAATCTGCACCATGTCGACGTCTCAGATGACTTCTTAAATTCGTTGTATTTCCACCTTTTGCAAGCACAATTTTTCGGCATAAACGACAAACGGCCTCGCCAGAGTTCAAAGGCTGTCCCTTTTCATCTGCTTTCAAGCCGAAATACAACCACACGATAGACTTGCTTCTTGGTTTACTGATAAGATCCATGTTTTCTTCGGCTCTTGTGCAGGATCTGTGGTGGCTGCAGCCCTGCTCCAAGACTTGGGATGGATAGAAAGGACACTCCGAGAAATATGACGTCAATACACCTATCATTGTTATAATGGAGCGTTTTAAACGTATTAGCACGCTATGACTGTGGGCACATTGTAAATGGACTAACATGATACTACAATTCATATCATCCTGGCAAGGGGTCAACGTGGATCAGGGTGCCTTTTAATATCTGGCCAGGGATAGATAAAACGCTTTGTTGGTTAATTCTGGGTCATTACAGCTCAACTACAGTTTCTTTGATTTTTTTGTTAAATAATGAGAAATGTTCCTGCCAAATGAAATAAATAAACGAAATAATACATAAAGTGACCAGCGCATGTTGACATATTTAAGCATACCTGTGCTATTATAATATCAACGTTGTAACACTGTAACAAAAAGTCCAAACATTTTCACTGGCTATCATAAAAACACATGGGGTGTTAGACATCGAAAAGGCGGTACAGTTTCTACCTGCTCTGTTTCTATATTATTACGTCTTTATTTGCGGACCAACGACAACAAACTGCGACGGGTCAGGGTTGCCAGGTTCTGCTGGCTATCTATAGACTTGCACGAACCAAATGTCCTAAATGTCAAAGTGGTGAATTCACCGAACTCATGCTAGTTTTAAAAACAATAAGTGGTCAGTTAATATATTGCGTTTTACTTTTCATCAGTCAGGTAAAATATTCTTGTCTGATAACCTGGATTTGTTTCTGAAGGGTTTGGTGTATATATATCAGAAAAATTTGTAAATGGGTTTTTAAGAACTGAATAGGGAATAAACTAAGTTGATCTAACATTTTCCATGTAGAAAGACAAGCTAAAATGGTCAGATCACCATTCATTTCATCTCTCAGTCTGTTAGTGTGTGTGTGGTGTATTGCCCGCCGATTTCATGGCACTGGGTGAGGCTTTTTATTAAATCCCTAAAAGGAAAAAAAAAAAGCATATGCAATCACCGGCCTGTTGTGTGGCAATTCCCATAGACACTTTTCAACTGACTTCCGTGAAGGTTTCAACACTGGCAACACCCGGGCTAGTGTACACTCTTACTGCCACCCACAGTTTCGCTTTTGTTTTCAGCTCACAGGTCTTGGGAAGCAGAGGCTGCTGCTAAATATCTGCTCTGGAGTTGTTACATAGTTCAGTCAGGTAAGCAAAACCCGTGGTTTCCAACATTTAGAAGGCTAACTTAGATCGTGGTATAGCTAGATACACAGGTCGCAAAAGGCTCTCTGTTTATTTTATATGTATATTCGAATAACGTTACAGATTGTCGGTCTCAAACATAACGCTCTTGTGGGTAGTTACAGCCTTGGTGACCGCAACCGCTTGATATCGGTTGTTTGTCGTTTTAGCTGACAATTAGCCACTGCTGAAAACGTTTGGCCCCACTGACATGCCGTAGAATGCGGTCTTCTTCGTGGTGGGGGCAGTTGTTGCCATGGCGACCTCACACAAATTGTCGGTGTTGGAAACTAACCGAACTTTAAAACAGTAAGCGCACCTTGGAGCACCAGAAACACGGAATCTTAAAACAAATACACAGGAATAAAATGGCTTCCTCCTTGGTCCCCGACTTCCCGGCCGTTATGGTTGCTCTCGAACATTTAGAGGAACTGGTCAAAGAGCTGAAAGAGGAGGGAGTACCGTTCGCACCTGAAGTTAGCCTCCATCTGACAGAGATAGCGGCAGCTGCTACTGGACTGGAGGGTGAAAGACGTACTACACATGAACATTTAGAAGTGGAAACCATAGAAAACAGCAAGCTGAGACAACAAATTAACAATACACGTGAAAGAATGAGCCAGGAATTTGTGGCTGACATAGCAGCAGCTCGGGCATCTAATGCTGAAGAGACAGAGCAGCTGCAGAAAGACCTCAGCTTAGTCTCTCAGCTACAAGAAGCCACTGTGAAGAGGCAGGAGTCATTGTTGAGCCAAAATGAAGTTTTGCACCCTGAACGAGAACAGGTGAAGGCTGAGCATGAAAACATCATTGCTGTTCTCAATGAGCAAATCACCCTAAAATATCATTTGCAAATGCAGTTGGATCACACACGGGAGCAGATAGAGGAGCTGAAGGCTTGCATTGCTGCTGTTGAGCTGGACAAAATAACAACAAAGCAAAACATGGTGCTGGAGAAAGAGGCTTCCATTGTGAAAAAAGACAGCCTGTCCAGAGATGTGGACCAAGCCAATGTGAAAATTACAGAGCAAAAGGAAGTGATCAGAAGGCACACAAGTGAGTTGGAAAGAGTTAACCACAAGAAACAACAAACTCTTCATCGTCAGGGAGAGCTCATGAGTGAAATGTCCAAGCTGGAGAGCAATATACGTGGATTGACAGCATCTCGGTGCCAGTTTGAGAAGCAGCTGGAAGGGGAAACCCAAAAATATCAAGAGTTGCACCAGCAGAGAGAAATGCTGAAGAAGGAGTTGTGTGAGTTAGAGGAATCTTTCATCCTTACCATCCAGCACCTCAAAGCGAAAATTGCCACAGTGGAAGGTAAAATAGAGGAGGGTCGAGTGTCAGGGCTGCTGTGTCAAGAACACCTGGCTCAAATGTATGAGATATTTAAGTGTCGGCATGATGAGGAGAATGAAGTAAGGGCAGAGAATTTCCATGTCCTACAGCAGCTGAAACGGTCCAAGCTGCAGCTGGAGGAGCGCATTGCCTCTATAGTCAAACACAGCAAGGAGATCAAAGAGATGGACAAAAAGATCAGAGAACTCCTAGAAGCTGACAAAATCAACAAGCAAGTGTTTGAGAGGAATCAAAAAGAGTTGTGCAGTAGCATGGCTGCACAGAAAAAGAACCTCAGCCATCTTGAGGAGGAGAAGAGCCAGCTAGAGAAGCTCCTAGAGGAGGCAAAGAGGAAGCAGGAAGAGTATGTGGCAAAAATGACCTCTGACATCAGCATTGCCAAGAGGAGATACGAGGAGCTGCGACAAGAGGAGGCCCAAATTCAGATACTTCAGCCAGAGAGCGCAGATGCTGACTTGCTGTTGAGCCAGGTTTCCCAGTTTGAGGTGGAGTACACACAAATAGTTTCCAAACACCTCCAGGAAATAGCTCAGTCCACTACAGAGACCGAGAGCATCACAAGGAGAAATGAGGAGAAGCAGAGGGAGGTGGAGGAGAAAGAGGAGATTCTAAAGGAGACCGAGGCCATTTTGGCCAAGGAGCAAAGCAGGCACCAGGGACTTGAAACGTTCGCCTCCAGACTGAGGCAGAGGAAGATGGAGCTAGAGCTTTTGATTCAGAAGGTGAAGGGGAAAACAAGTGCTCTGCTTCAGCCCAAAGAGGAGATGAAGGCTGAGCTGGAAGTCTTGCGAGCAGAATACATTGGCGTGCTTGACAAACAGGCCTTAGAGCTCAGAGCTGTAGAGATGAGCATCTATGACAGCACCATGAAACTGGAGCAGGTCAACATGGAAAACAGCAGGCTGCGCCTCTGTATCAGACAGATGGCCGAGGATGTTGGCAGAGCCAGGCAGAACAAAGACCGATACTGGCAGGAGATCCACAAGTTCACCGAGGACATAAAGGCATTGTTGGAGAGTTTACAGGAAACCTGGGGAGAGGATTTGTCATTAACTCAGGATTATCAGAGCAGCGATGGTGTTGTGTTGCTGTCTATGAGTGCCTTGTTGAACCATCTGAAATCCAGGAGACAGCAGTTAGGAAATGTCAGCACACTCCTACACCAACAAATGTTAGATTTTAGCAAACGACTGGGAGACAAGACAGTTATAGACCAGCATAGCTGAGTTAAATGTCTGCTGATGTGTAGTATCTGTCAGTTCAAATAAACTTTATGTATGGGATGTTTAAGTTAATATTAATTTGTGATCAAATCTTTTAATAAAGGTCTAAGCAACAACATGGTATGAAGGCATGTCCGTCAAGTTTATTTTTATTGCGCAGAATTTACAAAAACGCCCAAAATGGCTCAAATTACATTTTGACACAACCCCCCTGACTGGAATTAAGTTACAGTAAACATCCGATCTGGGGCACAATTCACTCTTTCTTATTCTACTGACTGACAAAAAATATCTCCTCTGATATTTAAAAAAGTTTGTTTTATTTTGTTAGATCTGAGATTTATAGGGATATAAAAAATGAACATTTTTTTACTCGCGCATTTCTAATTTTTCTTACCGATGGGCTTTTTCATGGAAGACAATTTGACAAGTCACAGTAGGAAAGGCACATGCATTAATAATAAAACTAAAGTTAAGTACAGTTGGGAATGCAGGTGTGAGCTTTGATTTGATCTGGTTTGACAGTAATAAGGAAACTTATCGAGATGCAGTGAGTTGAGCTCATAACTCGCTGTATCTGTTGCAATTCTCTCCTTCTGCTTTTTCACTGGAAACATTAACCACTCTAAGTAAAACATTGGCTTTCTGTGCAGGCAGAACATGAGAAAAGCAACAAGTTAATGTTACCTATAACTTGTATACATCTCTTCAATAGCTCACAAATTTAGCACCTTTCTTTGCAGCTACATTTCTTAGATACACTCCATATATTTCCTAGTTTTTCTGTGCTCACTTGCTTTTTAGAATGTACCTGTTATTTTTGGCAAACCAGCTATATCTCTGGTAAATTTGTATTTGATTCAGTGTGCCTGAACCCTGTGGCTTTCCTTCTTAGGCTCGCTGCATGACGTTTGGTGATGAAAGACACTTGTTTCCTGTGTGACCCCTCCAGTGCCAGCAGATGGCAGAAGGGACCTGGCTTTTCTCTGCTGTGACCTTGCCCTGCAGTTAGAGGGTTACAAAAACAACCTACTTCCCTCTGAACAAATCACGCAGGCATATTCACACAGAGGAGCATTCCCTGCTTCTGTCTCGCTCACTAACAAGACTAAATACAGGCAATAGTAAGAGAGGCAAGACAACAAGGCAGATGCTGCACAAGAGGAACTGAAGAGACATCAGTTTATTCCAGTGAAGAAGGTAAGTAAACTTTGCTCTGAACTCCTCTGTGTCATCTGATCTGGCAGCTGTAGTATCTGTAGTTTTCTTGTATGGCCAGACTCATAGCATATGCATGAAGCAGTATTTTGCTCATCTGCATCTTATCATCTTCAGTGTTCTCTGTCGCATTGTGAGCTTGATGCCAAAACATCGTTCTCTTGTGAGGAGTCGTATCAGAAACACAGTAGTTCATCGCTGCATTTTGGTGTTGGTCTGTGGAAAATGTTGTATCTAAACTTGACACCAATTTTTACAGGATAATATACAATTGCTTCTACTTAAAACAAGTTGTTGTTTTTTTTTTTTAGGTACAGTCCCAAGTTGAGTTGTCTTTCCAGTTACAAATACACAGTTCCCTTGAAAGTAGATACTTCCCTTCCCAAGCTGAAAGCCCACCAGTCCTCTTCATATTTTAATAATACAAGACTACATAAATCTTATAATTAGACCTTTGATAATGAGAGAAGGGCTCTCCAAAATGTATTTTTAGCATTTACATTTCAAGTCCAGCCACAGGGATAAAGGATTTTGCTCGCAGATAACTTTGTTTTTAAGAGTCAGAACAATCAAACTCATTATTTTTTGTAATACGACCTCAAAATTGTTATAATAACCTGCAACTAATGTTTCTGGTGAATGTAAATAGGGAATTAAGTGACTATGTAAGAATAGTAATGATTTATTGATATAACAGGTTCCTGTTTTGTGTTTTGATTTATAGTAGTGACACAATGCTTTTGTTCCCATTTGGACAGAACATTTGGATCAGATTGGACAAAGTGTACAGCTCTGCTATAAAGAACACTAGTTAGAGACATCAGAACAGCTTTGATATCTTCACTGCATTGCACGTCTCAGTTCTGTCTGTTCTCATGTTTAACGATCCACCGTCTATACTAATACAACTTGAATGGCTTTATGCTGCAGTGTGTGGTCAGACAGCTTTACAGGGCAGGAGGCTGTCGTTTTAAAGGTCAGAGAGTAAAGCAGCAATTTAACACCACAAACTAGGTAACACAGATGATGTTTACTTTCTGGTCCATGAGACACCACATAGAGGTACTTCATATGCATAGAAGAAGCAGCTCTGTAAGTCTGCATGCTACATGCTAACCATTGTTAATATGCTCACAAAGATAGTGTTACCATTCTGATGTTTAGCAAGTGTAATGTCTCCTGTGTTCATCATTTTTTAGTTTATTTAAAAAAGAATCAGCTAAAATATAATTATATTGTGTTACAAAAGTTTATATAGTGCTGTAGGGAAGACAACCCAGAATTTGGTATCACCCTGGTTCCACTGACAAAAAGCCATTGGGATTTTTCGGTTTATGACACTTGCACGTTTTGATGTTTGAAGCCCAAATACAGTCACCAGAAGTAAAAAGCTATTGTTAGGCCATAAACAAACTACACCACAGTCCCATGACTTCAACATCTCCTCTACAGCGTCCAACTTGTAATTTGATTTTGCATGCTTTCCTCTTCTACAAAATCCTGTTAGTGTGACCTGATGTAGATAGTGATCATGACTGTGTCAGTTACAATAGTCCCCAAGTGCACGAGTTTAAAAATAACAAGGCTATAAAGGCGAGTTAGTGACTAGATGAGTCTTCATGTTTGGTGTGATGGCGTTTAATGTCCCAGACAGCTTCTGGAATCTGATTTAGACACTTGTTAGCAACTCGGTTCCAGGTTTTAGGACTCACTACTACAGTGCTCTGTTTTTTAAATCTCATGACTCTTCTTTTATAGGCTGCAGTGAACAGTGAAAGTGAGATTTCTGTGTTCACACAGAGACAGTACATCTGTCATTAGCTCATGCTGCAGTGAAACCACGCTTAGCCAGTTCAGCTGACATTAGCACACAGTGCCTGTTTGGATGACGGTGGCATTTAAGGGAGGTGTGCAAAGTGCACAGAGCTGTGAACAGTGATGGAGGCTTTGGGTAAGAGGCAGCTATTCTTTATCTTCCTGTAGATGAGGTTATGTTATGTGTAATTTAAATATACATATCACAAATGGAAGAATGTTGAGGTGACAGTGAAGGTTTGTATGGATTTAATCAAACTAGTCTGGCTGGTGCCAGCATGTATGCGGTGTAAACATGGACCTGTATTAATTGTTAATATTAATGACTGAAAGAGTCTAGGTGTGTGTGTGTGTTTATCTAGATGCAGCAGGGTTTGTTTATGTTTAAGATCTGAAGAATTCATATTGTTCTATCTTTCTGAAAATGGTTGTGCTCTAGGACATGGTTGGTTTTAGAAAGTTAAAGCATAAATTGTAACTAAATAGAAATATTGGGGTTTTCTTTATTATTCTTACTGCATTGAAGAACAGACAGGCAGCCTGATGTCTCTTGGCAAAACAATAGTTATTCTGACCCATTTTTGGTTTGATTTCTTGCAGTTCAGGGTCGTATAAACAATCAGCAAGCATGTTAAATTCTCATGGAAGCATAAGACGGACAGATAGTGTCTATGTGCATGTTTTTATTACACTCTGTGGACCTTTTTTTCCCACTGCCATCATTGCAAGGACATTTTGGGCAGTTCTCACATCTTCAAAGGGCTGTTTGAGGATTAAGACTATGTTTGAGAGTTCAGGTTAGAATCAGGATTAGGTTAGGGTAAGGGTGGCACTGGTTGCAGCACTGGGAGGCATATGGTTGTGATGGGTAAGGTTAGGGTAATGGGCTGGGGAATACACAAAGGCACGACTCTGTGTGTGTGTGAGAGAGTGAGTGAGAGAGAGACTGTGCTTATCAACAAGGACTGACCTCTGCAAAGTTAAAGCTATAATTTAATAGTACAAGTTGCTTCCCATTAGTCCTGTTGCTGTTGCGATGGTCATCCACCAGTATGTGGTTTTACAGTCGTTTTTGATGTAATTTAAAGCTGCTACAGTCAGCATTTTCATATTAACAATGGATCAAATGACTGTATAATGTGAATAGGGTCTCGTAATGTGAACCTACCGAGAATTATCACCCAGCTCTGCAATTTGCCTCAGCTTTACACGGTGTTTTAGCATCTTTTAGCTCATTGTTTTTTCCTGTCCAGTAACTTTAATGCTGTAATGATGATATGCCATTGTTGTGTTTACAGTTTCCACTGCCCCCACATGGCCAAAATATTGTTTTAGGTTAGAACTGTGCCACCACAGAAACACAGTGGTAGAGATACTGTACATTAAGGACCAAAGTAGACGACGTGCTGTGACAGTTTGTCAACTCAGTTTTTAAAACTGTCATCACTCTGACACATTTTAGGAAGTGCCGGTCTTATTCTTAGGTTGCATTGATGATTTGTATGCGAGTCAACGGATGTTCTTGAAGGAAGTCAAAAGGCGAGTGGAGCTGTAATCATACAGCATTTAGACATGAAGTGAAAAAGCATTTGGTCACTGTTCACCATCCCTGTGTGGTGTCCCTCTTTATCAGCGTGTCCGATGGGTAGAGGGGCCACCAAGCTGTTCAGTGCCCTTGCTCAGACCTTCAGCGGCCACTCTCCTCTTCCACTCCCTCCATCCCACCTAGACCCCCATCAACCTGCGGACACAAAGCTGGAGCTGGATTCCTGCCAGGTGATTCCTCCTCTTCTGTTAGTACCTTCTTCAAAAACAGGGTTGATGTGTATACAAATCTTCCCCCGAGGTAAAATGCAGTCAATGTCAGGTTTCCTGTCTCGCTGGCTTGCAGGAGCAGAAGGGGTCCCTTATATGCCCCCCTATCTCATTGGAGCTACTTCAGCAGTGTGAAGAGGCTCTTGGGGACGAACCACGTCGCTTCCACAGGGAGTTCATTCACCTCAATGATGGAGACAGCAGCCCCATCAGGGTGATGCAGTGGAATGTACTAGCCCAAGGTAGTTATAAAACTACAGCCTAATAGATTGCATTGGATTTTATCTTAATAAATGTGGGGAATGTTGGAAGTGGGGTGGGTGGTATTTAGATGATGTCGTGTGTTCTGATCATACATGTGTCAAACTAAGATTGTTCTCCTTTAAGCATAAACATTTCCAAATTGTTGCAACGAGAACCCTAATCAGATGCTTGCTAAGATAAACTATGTAGCGTTATCAAGTTCAACTCCATATTGAAATCAGCTCTTCCTCTTTCTTCTGTCCTTCAGCTCTGGGTGAGGGACTTGACAGTTTTGTCCAGTGTCCCATGGAGGCCCTCAGCTGGTCACGCAGGAAGTACCTCATCTTCGAGGAGATCCTCACCTACCGTCCTCATATCCTGTGTCTGCAGGAGGTTGACCACTACTATGACACCTTTCAGCCGGTGCTGGCAGGTCTGGGTTATAGCAGCAACTTCTGCCCTAAACCACAGTCTCCGTGTTTGGGCTTGGAGGGCAACAACGGCCCTGACGGCTGTGCGCTGTTCTTCGATCAGTCACGATTCGAGCTCCTGGATAGTGGCAACCTGCGACTCTCTGCCATGAGGCTTTCAACCAATCAGGTGGGCAGAATTTCACATAGTTTCATCAAAAGCTACTCACAAGCACCTAACATGCTGCCATCTTGCCACAGGTTGCCGTGGTGATGATGCTACGGTGTCGCAGCACTGCAAGATGCATTTGTGTGGCTGTCACTCACCTGAAGGCTCGTTCTGGCTGGGAGTGGCTCCGCAGTGCCCAGGGCTCCGATCTCCTGCGACACCTCCAGAACTTGGTCCAGAAACACTGTGGTGGGCCCACGGGCGTCCCCAGCTCTGACATTCCTCTGCTCATCTGTGGCGATTTCAACGCAGTCCCAGCTGAGGAAGTGTACCGGCGTTTCATCACTTCACCTCTGAGTTTGGACTCTGCCTATAAGAAACTCAGCCAAGACGGTTTGACAGAGCCGGAGTATACAACATGGAAGATCAGACCCACGGGGGAATGCTGTGCCACTCTGGACTACATCTGGTATAGTCAGGACATGCTGAGAGTAGACGCAGTGTTGGACATGCCCACTGAGGAACAGATTGGACCAAACAGGCTTCCGTCTTTTAGCTATCCATCTGACCATCTCTCTCTGGTTTGTGACTTTACCTTTAAGGAGAAGAAGTGAAAAACAAGTGGTGAATCTATACACAAGAGGAGATGGCTCTGAGAAGAGGCAGAGTCGAGGTTGGCTTCCTGTGGGTTTCACTCCACGGGAGAAACTATGAGGATGAAGGCAGGAGGCCTAGAACCAGAGTGGGCAGCGGTAAAGTCAGGTTAGACCCTGCAACGACAGTCTACCTCCCCTAACTCTGTCACTGTGCAGTGTTCTCTGCACCAGGTTACCTTCGTTTGTACTCAAGCATAACTTGCACAGTGAAACCGAGTAGTAGTTGTACTTTTTAGTTATCAATTAAAAATCTATTATCAAACTTTAATTGAAACTGCAGTATGTTTTGCTTCACACAGCAATGTACTACAGAGTCACTGAGAATAAAGTGTTGTTTTTTTTGTTATATATGTGATGACTAAATGTTATGATTGCTACTTGGATTTACAATTTCTTCTCATTATTTGATGTTTGGGAATTAAAAGGTTGTTTCATCCAATAAAAATATTTTCTTATATACCTTTAACAATGTACATCTATACATATAGTTTTGGTTTTAGCTTCCACATCCTCAGATTTCTATCTCCACCTGAAAACAATGGAGACATGAAAGGAATTTTAGCTTTTATGACTTGAAAATTTCAACACCAATATATCTACAGATCTCATCTGTATTCACCAGCATTAATGTCTTTTGGGCTGCAGTGTAATAAGACATCACCCTGGCAAGTGAAACGGTAGTTATGATATTGGGCTATACAAATAAAAATTGCCATGTATGAACAAAGTCTGAAGTAATTAAACCACATTCATGTGAGCCAAAGTCAAATCCCAACAGAGGATCTTACACATAAGTGCCAATGTAAAATCTTAAAAAATTGACATAACCAAGAGGAAAGTGTCACATTTCAAATATCAGTAAAATCTACTTTAATACACTTTGAAACAAGAGTACAACAAAATAGAATATACTTCAAATGTTGAATATACAAACAGTTCAGTCTGAACACAAACATCTTTCTCTCTAGCTTTCCTCTTAAGACAATGAAATGTGGGGGCAGAAACACTGCTCTCAGTGTGAACTAAAGTGACCTGGATCTGACCTTTGATATTTTCCCACGGCCATTTTGCATAATCTTGTTTTCTATGCCTTTCATGATGGATATAATTGCATAATTTCCATCTTGATCTGAGTTTACATACATTCCTATTTCTATTCTTTTTTTTTTTTTCCCCCCCCAAGACTTGGCAGCATGCGTCAGCTCTAACTCATATAATTCTTTGCATGTCCATGCAAACTGTCCAAAAAATATAAGATTGAGAAATAGCCAGGACCTTTTTGTTTTCTGCCTGGAGGACACAATAGAAGCAATCTGGCCACTGGTCTACATGTGTAGGAACTAATAATACAATTATTAGTTCCTCCTACTTTCAGTAATACTGTGCTTGGTACAGGGTATCAAAACAAAAAACAATATTCATCTTACCATTCAGACAACATATGAAAAAGAAAATTAAAAATCTATGGATGACCTGTTACTTTAGCTCCATAAACTGTATAGTATATATATATGTATGTACATACATGACCATTTCCTGACATCTTTCAGCTCCACTTTCTTTCTTTCTCTCCCTCTCTCTCTCCATAGCACCACCCACACTTGATCTGCACAGTGATAGTTTTAAAAAAAAGGGAAAGTTGCTGGTTTTAACATCTGTAGAGGCAAACAAATGCACCCTGCAAAGCTTCAATACCCCCCCCCCCAAACACACTTTTTGGTTGGTTGTAATTATTTGCCTCATTTTGTAGTGTTCAGCTTTTTATCTTTTCAAGGATTTCCCTAATTCGAGTCAGTGATAGCAATCCGTTTGGAAGGCATACATTGTAGTGATTAAGGTTGGTCCCTTTACCTTTCCCAGCAAGTCCTTTTCAAGTCTGTGTATTACTATGTTGCAGGGATCTGTACACAAACACCTGTAGAGGTTTCAGTGTGGTTCTGAGGGAGCCCAGCTTAGTTCAGTGAAGTTCTAGGCAGCAACAGGAACAATGTGGAGAGGCCTTCAGGAGTCTTTAAAGTCTGACAGACTGCTGCTGGTTATTACATGAGTAAAAACAACTTCAGGCGTACAAACTAACACTCGCTGGCAGAGAATGAGAAGACAGGTATTGGTAGATGTGTGTGTTTCAGCACTCAGGCTCTTCTGTCTTTATCACATCAGGTGTTTCTAGTTTGAGAACCACCTCAGCATCCACAGTCTCTGACTTGATGCTCTGGATAGTTTTGAGGTTCACCTGGTTCGGGTGGACTGCCACCGTCACTGGCACCTGCACAGCCTGCATCTGGATTGCACCAGCCTTCAGCTTCTCCACTGCGACTCCTCCGGTTGCCGGCACTCCAATCACAAGCTCTGAACCGTTAATGACACCGCTAATGATATGAGGCTGTGCTGCCACCGACTGACTGGCTGTTGATGCCGTTATCGCCCCTGCCCCACTTCCAAAACTCCCCGGCTGTGACACCACAACAGTCTGTTGTTGTGTCTGTGTTGGCACAGTGAGTCTCATCACCGGTGTTCCCGGGCCAACGTTAACAGGTGCCAGGGCCCGGACCGTCAGGGGACTCCCAAGGAGGCTGATGCCTGCTGGGGAGGCCCCAACACTGGGCTTATTAGTGCCTGTGGAGGTCTGGAGCTGACACTGAGCTAACTGATGGGCTGGGATTGTGATGATCTTGGCCAGTTGGACAGTGATCTTCTCTCCATTCTCCGCTGTGGCTGGGACCATGGTAGGGATGGCCTGGATCACAACCTGCTCAAAAAACACATAAAAAAAAAAAAACATCCATGAAAGATAAAGACAGACTTAAAAGCAAAAATGTTACATTTAAACACTGCTAAATTTATAAGCAGGGGATCTGCAGGGTGCACACAGTTAAGTTCAAGACTGTTCAAGGTAGCTGCTGGTCATTGAACGGGTTTCCACATGTACATACTTTCTGTTGCGAGTTGGCATTAGGGGCAGCAGCACCAAGAGCAGAAGTGCTGGTGAGGAGGGTGGTGTGGCGGGTTGCCCCTGTTGTTCCTTCTGGCTGCTGCATAGCCACTGTAGAGATCTTCTGACCCAGCGATGTTGTCATGACGACAGGCACCTGCATAGCCACCCGCACTGTCCTGTGGATGAAGGATAAGACAGCACAGAGCCAAAAGTCAGTCCCTCCTTGGTGGGGAAATATGCCCTAATATACCTAAGTTGAGACACAAATGTAATGTCCAAGCTGAAGGGCTTGATCTCTCAGCACGATTCTGACCTGGGCCCAGTAGCAGTTGGGATGACAGCTGTGTGAGACTGCTGGGTATGACTCCCATCTGTTGCTGCTGAAACAGTCATTATCCGTGGAACCCCTGCTGCACCACCTCCTGCTACTGTCTTGCTGCCTGTAGCAACAGGAGTTTGGACCATGCTGGCTTTGTTAGCGCCCCGCAGGATGTTAGGCTTCTTGGATGACGACAGCTCGGCCACCTGGAGCAGCATGTCTGATGGCGGTGGCACACGCTCATATGATGCAGCAGTGTCTGAGCCCATCATGTCATCAGGGGCAAGCATGTCTGCCTTGTCATCGTCAATGATGACAATGTTTTTGGGCATTTCTTTAAACTGGTAGACCAGCCGCTGGCCCTCTACCTTAGCAAGAATGCCACGCTGGTAGTAATACCTGAGGAGAAACAGTGGTCAGGAGTTATGACATTGCTCCCCAAAAAATACAAATATGAAAGATTTACCTGAAAACTCCCTCAAACACATTGACATGAAACCGCAGAGCCTTCTTACCGGAGTGCCCGTCCCATGGTCTCGTAGTTCATGTCTGGCTTGTTCTTGTGCTTGCCCCACAGCTTTGACACAGCCTTTGAGTCAACCAATTTAAAGATGCCCTTCTCCCTCTGTGTCCACTTGATGTACCTGGGACAGGTGTTCTTGTCCTGAAGGAGGTCCAACAGGAACTCCCAAAGATAGGTGGTGCTCCCTGCTGGAAATCCGAGTTATATTAACGCCCTGCTAAAAGCTTATCCATCTCAGTCAGAGCTTAACACATTAGAAAAGCAACAGACGTCTGTATGCATCTATGTGAATGTCAACTAGAGTGATTATTACTATTTGATACCTTTTCCTTCTCTTGGTTTCTTCTTGATGGAGAGGTCCGGTGAGCTATTGGAAATAGCTGACTGATGTGTCTTTGACTTCCGTCCAGCTACAAAAGAAATGTTTTAAAGCTGACTTAAACATTTGTTTCAGTAATGTGTACTGAGGTACAGAATACACTGACCAATGACACTCAGCTAAGACTCAAAAGTAAAGGTCTCCCACTAGGTGGTGCTCTGGGATCAAGACATGATGGGACATGAACAGTGTAACTCAGGGCTTTGGCTTGAGGTTTGTGGCCTGGCTTGTGAGGACAATTACAGAGCTACCAGAGCTTTTGCAGTTCAAACTTAGCTTGAAATGATATAAACATAGATTTTCCTTTTTCTAAAGCTCACCTCCCTGCAACATGATGAACAAAAGTTAAAACACTATTGCAGATGACTTCACTGCTACTGATTATTGAGGGTTCACTTTCTAGGTTGAAACAAAAACAAATGGCAAACTGTCTTTGTCTACCTCTCCTCTTCCTGACGGGCTCATTGTCAGGCTCTGGCTCTTCCAGCAGGGTGACCATCTCCTCCTCTTCCTCCTCGCAGCAGTCCTCTGTTGATATCTCCACCTCTGTCTCTGTAATCATGTCTGGACGCATGGCAGCATGCAGGAAGTCTGGTGTTGCTATGCATGGTGGGATAAAAGCTTCTGGATAAAGGAGAGAGTGAGGGAAGAGGTACAATTGTGCTGTGATGCAGTGTTATAAAGTTCTGATTACAATTTTCACTATTGTGTTTTGTTGCTACTTAAAGCACCCAGTGGGAAAGCAAAAGCTGAAGAACATTTATTTCACAATTTTGGTCCTTTACATCAGGCTTACAATACCAGTGATTATCTACTTAATTAACTAATACTTATGGTTTTGGAAAGGAATAAAAGGTTAAATTAAGAAACCAGAGCCATAACATTCCATACATAACAAATTCCTTGTGTATAACATACTTGGCCAAATAAAGGTGATTATTATTATAAGATTTACTGTTGAGCATTAGACCTTCTCAAAACTACATATATGAGATATAAGAACTGTTTCAGCTGGAATACATTACTTTTTGTCTGTGTAACCTTCAGCAAAGGTGACAGAGCAATGAAAATATTATTGGTCAGTGGCCTTTAGTTAAGGCACTGAAATACTCCACAATATGAATGTCTCTTTCGGCTTTTTCCTGTTTTTCGGGGTCGCCACAGCAAATCAACTCGCATGTTGACATTTGGCACATGTTTTACGCCGGATGCACAATACTGAATAAAGAAAATGCTCCATTAATTATGAAACCTTAGAAATATTTTCACGCAGAATCACCTGTAAATGATGAAAATATCTATATAATTTTACGATTATTGTTTGTGTGTGTGAGATACCTGGGCTGCGCTCCTCTCTGAGGCTGGAAGGTGAATCCATGTGTAGCAAAGCTTCTGCGGCCTCTATGGTCTTGTCAGAGCAGTGAACACTGCCGTGAACAGAAGCCTCCACTAAAACACACAGAGGCAATTAGCAAACACCCTTGGAAAAAGAAGGTTACTGGTTGAGCCCAATCAAACCTGTTACTACAAAATACATGAGTTTCAGGTTATTAATACCCACAGAGAAAGACCAAACAAAAAGAATAAACTGTTTTTATCAATTATCTGTCAGTTATTTCACATTATTCACAGTTATGCATATGTTGAAAATAACATGCAACTATATGGCACCTTCTAAATCCAACTGCTTTTGACCCACTGATAAGGCATTTTCAGAATTCAACACATTATCTCTGATCCAGACACAGTACAACATGGTGCAAAATCACACTTGCATTTTTTCTTAGCCTCTTTATATTTGCTGAACTAGTTGTTGTGACTGCTTGTTATACTGCACCTTTGGATTTTGTTTCAGGCTGTAATATATTAGGACTGTTAAGTATACTTAAGTGATGTGAGGAAGCATTCAGAGTCAACTAAAATGCTTTGGCAGCATCTACAACTGCCCTTCAAGATCAGCATGCAGAAATGTCACTGACAGGCATTTATCTTAAAAGCAGCCCCCGCACTTTTTTTTTTTTTAACTATCACATGTACAATAACACACCATTTAATTAAAAAATGCAACTCAGTCTGTTGTAAAAGAAATGGTACGTGGCCATTCGGAGGCCCTGACAAGGTACCCAGGGCACCTGCTGCTGGTGTCAATCACTGGTGGGAAATCCGAGATCCTGTTACACCCTGCACTGTCCATGTTTGGCTATATCACTGAGGCAACAGGCACTGCACAAGGAAGAGAAATGGGCTATGTTTAGATTGTCCCACTCATTCAGTCCCTCTCACAAAAAACAGGACATGCTGGTGGCCATCACAGCAGGAACCATAAAGCCTGCTATGCATCCCTTGAAACCAGGCAGCCATGCTAACAAAACTATTTCAAGTCTGTCTAAATTATTAACATGTGGGTTTATCCTTAATTACTAAATAATACAACGCCCAGAATTTTGTAACAAAAGTACATATAGAAGAGTAAAAGTATTTGAATGTATAGGCAAAAATTTTGAAACTTAGGAGAATGGCTGTTTAAAACCTGTATGTAACGGGGCCAAGAATAGCAGCAAGTCCGTCAAAAAATAGTGCTGCTTCTGATGACTTCCGTGTTTACACTCCTCATCCTTTCCCTCCAGATCTCTTCGAAGACGTTCACAAATCCTCTTGTCACTCAACACCCACCTCACCCCCTATTGGCTCCTTCTCAAATAACATCCCGCCCCCTTTTAAATCTGATTGGGCTCATGCTTACGTTTTAACTTCAAGTCAACCACTATTGGGCTAAAGAGATAGTCAATCAAAGACATGTCCTGCCCCCTCACATAAACAATGCTTCCGCCATCGAAATAAAACAAAAATACTTTTAAAATTTCGATTAAACAAGTGGAAACGAGGCGGTGTTCTCACAACACACCGCTCGTCAACAAACCTGCAAAAAACGCAAAACGCGTATTTTGCAGTTAGGTATGTCGAAGGCTGAAGCCGCACTTCAAACAACTGAAAGGAATAAAGCCAGTGAACCAGGCCATCCCACGCTCCAGTCAGAGCACAATAACGGAAACCGTGATTTCTGAATATCATACCCTTTTGACATTGGACATGTACAAAATGTGCTCTCCTCACCTAAAACATAACTTTACAATATTACACTCCTTACGTTTTAGAACTAATGAAAATGTTATCCAGAGACTTGACTACCGTAATAAACTAAAGTGAACCCCGATTAAGTACCAAGATATACGTCAACCACAACTGTAACGGGGTTATATCAAACAGGGTGTACTGGAATTATGATGGTAAAAATAAACCCCACATGTCCTTCCGACTCAGACAGCGTGGCAAAGACGTAGGAAACACAACATCTTTACACTTCCTGGTTGTGCAGAGCCGATCTGCAAACCGTTATTCTAGATCAGAAAACTAGATCAGATGAGAAAACTCTGCTCCAACATGCAAAACACACTTCGTGCAAATAACTACTTATCTGTGCTAACTGGCAGTGCCTGCAAACGTTTTTCTACTCTTACACCGGGTTCGATACACCGTGTAGCAACGCCATGCAGGTTGCTACCAAGGTGATCACTTCCTGATTGCCCTCCATTACTTCACCACACTACTTAGCGTACGAAGCCGCAGCGGTCGAGGTTAAAAGCACAAGCCACGCGTTAACGTTAGCTCCCGAAACGAGGTTAGGAGTACAAAAATACGTTACCGGCCCTGATGAGTAGGTCGAGCTGATTTGCGTGCCCCTCATGCTGTGAAGTCGCCATGTTTTCACTTGCTGCAGATTCACATTGACTTCTCACTGAATTGTACGGGAAGCTACAACCTCAGATCACTCCGCCGCTAATGGGAAATCTCATCGAATTCAACGAGATGTATTACGGCGTCAGAGAAGTATCCCTCCGCTGCCAACACAGGAAATCCTTCCTTCGCCCTCTTGCGTTGCGAGTACGTCACAAAATGCTGTACGGTATTGACTGCTTTTCTGAAGTCAGTGGACAAATACATCTGTTACACAACAAAGCTCCAGTCTGCACAACGAATTGCCCGTTAAAACTTGTAAACAAGCGTACATCAAAACTACTTCCGCTCACAACAATGAAGAAAAAATGTTTTGCAGTGACTGTAATGAATTTGTTGCTCTAAACTATGGATTTGGATTACTTCACATCATGTGTTTTGTTGCCTTTTTTTATACAAGTCAAATGCACTGCAACAGATACATATCAGTTACAGCATAGCTCATTATCAATTCCATAACTCAGACTGCTTCTTTTTTAGAAAGCAAATAGCCTGTGTGGATTATGCAAAATATTAGACAAAAAGTAATGGAATACTAAAATGCAAACTGTGTCAAAACACGACCTACACTCACTCTTACATTTGGGTTGACAGCTCTACAGGATTGTTTCCTACTGATGTGCAATAAACACACCAGTGGAAATGCAAACTTTTTTCCTGTGATTTTTTTTTTAGATATCAATAACTTTGTTTTTATAAGATTAAACAAACAACAGGATTACATTAAAATATAGCAATTACTGTATGTATTTATAGTGGACCATTACGAACACCTTTTTTCTCAGCTACCCAGTACAATCACATTTACAGTAATTCCAAAAAATGAACCACTTGTAGAGTCAAGCTAAACATAAAATACACAATTAAATACTCTTCTTCAAAATTTCTGACATCCAAGCAGACAAAATGTGCAAATTTATGTAGTACTAAATCATTTCTTGGTAATTATGACAACTTCCTGTCCTGCTTGCTGAAACGTCAGATTTTGATTTATGCACAAATAAAGCTTAGGGAAAGCTAAGTTCAATATTATACTGCCTCGATCTTTCAGTCTGTTTCATACTTACGAACACGGCACTGGATTAGACACTAATTACCATTTTAATAAGGGATTAATTAGAGATTACTGAGATAACACTGGACACCTCAACTGTTCATAAAAAAGCAGCTGTCCAAAAAACTCCACAAGGTGGCAGTGTGTGGATACAAAGGTGGCAACCCTCAGACTTTATCAGACAATTTGGTGCTGGCAATAGAATCATATGACATATTCAGACACATTCCCCATTTCAGCCCAACCACAACAAACCAACACATGTTCTAAGCCTGAATATATGAAACCAGTGTGTGAACTTTAGATCCAGAGTTATTTGAACTCGTACCCTGTCCACATTCTCTAATCCTCTAGATCTATAATACACCAGATGGCAATTTTATTTCAAGGGTGAGGAGACACAGAAGGCCAAGATGTACCAATGGAAAACAGAAACATTATAATAGTATAATGTCTATACCTAATTATGTAAAGTGCCCTTGAGACAACTGTTGTGAATTGGTGCTACACAAAAAATTGAACTGAAAACTGAAGGCAATGATTAGTACTAGAAAAAATGCACCACAGTCTACACACTGTACTACACCATAAATACAAATACAGAACAAAAAGCTGTTGAGCAGTAAAACAAAGAATGAGTGAATTCTAACTTTAACTGCCATTTTTAGTTAAGCTGTCAGTTTGACCAACAATTCTGGCAGTGGCACCAGCCCAGTACGTATAAGTGTAAATATTTGCAGCTGTTTGAACAATGGCGTGTCTCTTTGTGGTAACCTGAAACTATTATCAGTCTGTTAGCTGAAGCAAAACTGGAGTCATAAATCCTAGTCCAAACTGAATGTAAAGAGTACAACAGCGGGTAAAATTTCTTTTTTCTAATAACATGAAACCTTAGTGATCTGGCTGACATAGGAACTGTGCATCAACAATGGTAACAGGATACAGAAAATTAACTCCGATTTCCCAGCACCTAAAGAAAGGGTAAAACAGGGCACTTAATGATTGAGGTTTGCTCTGGCACTCTGGTAGCAGTGTGTGTGTGTGTGTGTGTGTGTTATGTCTTGCAACAGAGACTGTATGAGAGTTATCTGGTGCATTAGCCTACAGCGCAAAAAGGAAGAGTAGGAGGGTAAAACCACTCTCTGATAAATACACAAGTATTTATGTCTCACCTGCCTCCCCAACTGTCTCCAGCTCCTGCTCATCGCCGACTTCCTGCACCAGGTACACCTCATTATCATACACCAACACCTGGGCTGAGTAACCTTGCTCCTCAAGCAGGCTAGCACCAGGTACCTCCTCTACTATGACTGCTGGGTAGTCCTCAGCCTCGTCTCTGTCCTGTACTTCTTCATAGGTCTCCTCTGCTTCACACTCGCCTTCCACCTCTCCCTCCAGTTCTAGATCTGCCTCACACTCTCCCTCCTGCTGGGGAAAGGGAAAAGAGCAAGGCAGTGGAAAACAAGTTTACTATAAGCATGAAGTAGAAACAAATTAAGTCAAAAATGAGAAAAATAAAGAATTATTGTAAACGGTCATTACAGTTCTGCTTGGCTGTGTCCAACCCACCTGTTGGTCCTCTTCAGCTGTAACATACTCCACCACTGTTCCACCGGTGTCGACCAGCACCACCGAGGTCATGACTCATACTCCTCAGGGATCAACACTCACAGCTCCACAGTGCCTCTGCCCAGTGGCCCCCACCCGACACCTGGAGAAAGAAGGTGCACTTGGTAAACAAAACTTCAACATGTTCAAATCCATGATGCAGAAATAGTGAATGACCAGAGTTTGTTAAGAGTGAGCTTAATAGTAATAGAAGTCAGGTCATTTCCTTATGTCAGACTTGTACGGTGTTCTTAACTAAAACAATGAATCCCTACCACCCTCAGACTTTTTTTTATTTCCTCATAGGAATCCATATGGAAATAGTTCAGTATTTTAAATATGTGTTTATTCACTTACCAGTGCCTGGTCAGTTTTAGAGGTACTGACAGTTGGACTCTTTTACCTTTGAACAAAGCTGGGCTGGCTATTTTCTTCTATTTACAATCTTTATGCATGGCAAGGCTAACAGGCCCTGGCTTCATATTTACTGTACAGACAAGCGTGATATCAGTCTCCTCATCCAACATTCAGGAAGGAAGATGCTTTTTTTTCTTTTGAAAATGTTAAAAGAAAAGAATCACAATGTCCAGCTGATTAAAAAGAAAAAGCTTTGCTGATGAAGTGGTAAATGTTGACTACTGATGCCTGCCAGCCTGAACAATTCTATAGAAAATAAAAGTAAGCTGAACGAAACATAATCATACTTTCATCTACCTGCCCAGACTACAGTGGGTACGGAAAGTATTCAGACCCCCTTAAATTTTTCACTCTTTGTTATATTGCAGCCATATGCTAAAATCATTTAAGTTCATTTTTTTCCTCATTAATGTACACACAGCACCCCATATTGACAGAAAAACACAGAATTTTTGACATTATTGCAGATTTATTAAAAAAGAAAAACTGAAATATCACATGGTCATAAGTATTCAGACCCTTTGCTCAGTATTTAGTAGAAGCACCCTTTTGAGCTAATACAGCCATGAGTCTTTT